CCCCCCCCCCTAACCAATCTATCGTAAAGCAAAGTCATCCCCACTAATCAACAACACAGGAACATCAGACTGAACACCCAGCACTGATCACGTCACTAGTCATAAGGAATCTCACGGATTGGTTCGCTGACTGCCTTAAAACCCAATCAACCTACTTACTTACTCACTTGGCCTGACGAAGCTTTTGTGTCAAAAGCGAAACGTTGCCCAGCAATAAATCCACTGATTGTTTACCAAACCCCTCTGAAACGAAATCCACTGGTTGTTTACCAAAACTCTCTGAAACGATGACTACCAAATCGGTCCCAAACATTTTCCAATTGATTGAAGACTCCAAACACCTTAGAAAGAGAGACAGGACAATATACGAAGAGTTTTCAGCAACCCTGTGAGTCGTTTGCTTAGTGAAAAAAGTGTAAGAAACCCTTTTAGCTGCATTCATAAGGGCGTGAGTTCAGAATCGGTCACATACTCCTGAAGTGAGAGTGGACTTGCTGTTTGCTCATGTTGGCTCCTCACGCAATCTCTAGCATTTTCGCTACAATACCGGTGGATTTTGTTTGGCGGGGTGCAGTCCACGTTGGAAGCAACAGTGCCGCAGACCGTGTGACATACTAACTAATTACAGATTTTCCTACAATAGATGGTTGTGAAACTGTTTCCTAAAGCTTCTATTCATCAGTTGATGCGTAAAAGTTCATTAAACCGCTCTCTCTGCCTGTACGAGATCATTCGCTAAACCCTAATGTGTACGCCAGTTGTTCTTCTGTTATGGGCCCTATATGTTGAACTCGTCTAGGCTTGTAGTCAGTTCCGACAGCCGCTGCTTCTGCTTAGGTTTACAAGTCCGAGTATCTCATAATTTCATTTTTATTTAAGATTGCACGTCGTCAAAATGCTAGAACATTTAAATAACAAGTTCAATAAAATACAAAGGAGCGAAACAAAGCTGTACAGGATAAAGGTGACCGGGGACATACAACAGTCATGGTGTCTTTCCAGGCCACAGAACATAACGACCCTGTTTCAATTGTTGCACGGTAATCCGACAAATACCATGGTCCGAACTTCGTCGAATCGCAATGTCTTGGGCTCCGATTGCGACAATTGTGCCAGTGCATCGGTGACTGGAACCATCCCGGCCCTCCAGAATCACAGAGGCACCATACTGGAAACTGAAAGTAAACAAGAAAATGGAGAGTGTGGTTAGAAGCCCTTATATATCTTATATCTTTTCCGGAGCAAAAGATCAATTTGCCACCTCAGCGGACTTCTTAAGGTTCACCTCCTACCTGCAAAGTATTCGCTAACCTAGAAAGCAAGGAAATACAAATTTGCTGGGTAGAACAATCCATGCACAGACAATCATACAGCGTTCGAATTTCATGAGGTCAATTTTGACGAAAATGACCTACCTGTAACCCAAAACACAATTAGGACACTGTTGTTGCGGAAGTAGCACTTCACTGTTGTGCTGAAGACCCATTTAATCCGAACAAACGATGACATAAGTAGGCGTGCATATGTGTTTCTATGGAAGACGTTCATCATGGACCATCCTGAACCATATTTATGAATAAATTAGTTCAGTTGACCCCTCACTAACATACAACAGTCAGGACTATAGCCCGTGCACACGGGACGTTTTATGACCCAAAACATGATAGTTGATAGTACCGAAGACTGCACTAGTTACGATATTCAAGGAAAGATGGTCTGGTGGGCGAAAACCTCTCAACAAGGATCCCTCTTATCAGAGGGGTCGTGTCTTCATGTCAACTGATACAGCATGCGTATTTTTATCAGCTGGACTAATTTGTTGCGATCGCGGTGCATTAGTTTGTTCAATACTGAGACCCCACAAAGAAAGTATACAGAATAGGTTAATAAAAAAAACAAATGCCGGTCAATATAGATATTCTTATCAATATGGATGAATTTCACATTATTTTCTTCCCATCGTGAAATTCATTCCTAAGGACATAGTGTAAAGAATTGTTGACTACGTGGGTTATATTCAGACAACTCAATGCCGCCACTTTCAAGGTGTTGTCCACTTCCCTAGATGGAACACGCCCAGAAAGTTGCAAACAAAAGAGTTGACTGAAAGAACAGCAAAATCTCAGATACTATCGTTACCTAAGTTGAATACTTGCTTCACAGACCACACTGTCTCAATAGTATATTCTGTCCATTCGAGGCAAGCCTCCACTCCAGGGTGCGCCGTTCAGAGCAGCTCCACCAGCAAAATCTGTTGGTTTATCTACCTCGTCATCAAGCAAATCATTTTCTGTTCGTTCAAACACATTCAGTTCTTTTGTACTGCTTCACGCGCAAAATCGGCCGTATGTAAAAAATCGTACACAACTTTGATGATATTCACACGGCCAAACGAGTCGGTCTGACTGGTATACGTTCCACCTCTGAACTAGTAAAACAATCAACGTGTGTTGTTGCTTGACCGCACGTATGGCTTCAGTAAGCGATACTTTGGGCTAATGAGTATCAAGAAAATTAATAAACTGGGCATTACGGTGCATCAGCTTAGCCCTTAAAATGCCCCACTAAGCTTGCGTACGAATTGTCGAGCGGTTGCCCACGTCTGAGGCTAAGGTGCGCAGGTCAAATTCCCCTCGCGAAAACGTCGAAGAAGTAAGCTGGACCCTGGATTATCATTTAACTGGAATGTGTCCGTAAAATCTTCACTATTAAAGCTATGATAAAGAAACTACAAAGGTGTAGCTGGACTCAGTACCGATGAAAACGAGTTAAGAGTACTGTCAGGTCAAATTTCAACAAACAGGATGCAACAACCTTTAAAGGATGCCTTACACAGCAGAATAAGAGGCACTCACCACTTCTGACCGCAGTATAAACGCCCATCATCAATCCAAACGGAAAGGCCGGAGGGAGTTGAGCCGGTTGGACAGGATAAGCCCGGAAGTTGAACACGACTTGGCGTACCGGAATCTAGACCGAAGGGGTTTGGAGAACTCATACCCGCTGACCCTGGGGAATTCATTGTTGGTGTCCCGCCATCTTTTTGGCTCTTCGTGGAAGCTGAAGTTGGGCCATCACTCAAGGAATTACTTTGGACACCTGGATGGGATGGAGAGCCGAAGCTGGTTGCCTGACCACCGACAAAGGGCGTGTTGTGGTGTGAGTTCTTTCGACTTCCACCAACTGACGGAGTATTGACGGACTTTGCGCAGGCTCTGAAAAAATACGATTTGGAAGCGTGCATTTGGCCTTCAATTTGAGCGAAAGCAAGAATTAGTGAATCATGGTTAACAACAAGGTTAACAGGGGACACTAAGGCGAAACACCAGGAAAAGTAGAAAGGACATGAAAATTCCGAAAAAAGCGTTAATGCCATATATGTAATCGAAAGACGTAACAAGAAGTGATCTCCCTTGTCTAACAATAAGTGAGTTAGACGCCCAGCTAACCTCGCACACATAGCTCCAATTAGGCGATCGGAAGTTTTCCTGCGCATTGGACCTTCCAGCAAAAAAACGAAGATGTTGAGATTCCATTCAATCTATTCATCAATGATTCTGAATCCCTTGCAGGTAATTTTGTCCAAGACATACGTGAAAATGAGGCAGCTGATGCTGCCTGATCGACAGGTTTAACACGGACGTTATTAGCTGGCACTTGGTTTGATCACCGAGATTGGCAATTGGTTTGCAAACATACCGCCATGAACTGAGAAAAACACTGTCAGTACGCAGTCCGGTTGGTGATTTCTCTTCTTGTGCTTTACTTATATGGTCTGGCTAACAGCACCTGCAAGGTCGCTGGCTGAGGCTGTCCGGTTCTATCATTGCTCATTGGTCTGCTTTAGATCAGTTGCGTTGTATCCCAATTTTTTCCTATGATTGATATATTAGAGGCAGTCACTCTAGGTAGCTTTTGTGCATTGTTTTGATCGGTTCCCTCTGACCGTGCGGTGCCTTATGGTGCGAAACTTTACAGACGCATTGAATGTTCTTTGTCCACTGCGTGGTCTTATTCGTCCGGTGAATGTATCCGTTGCGTGGTGATCGTTTGTTCCGACTGGTTATCCCGTTCCACCTATCGTGTATTTCTATTGACCCATTTAACATCCGGGCACAATTGAATGCTGCAGCGTTTTACATTCACACCAGTTTTGTATACCAAGTGTGAGCTTTTCCAGCTTTTATATCATTCTATTAGTTCCACCCTTTGGATATTGTACGGATGTGCGCTACGATGCTAGATTTCTTCAGAACGCAGCGACGGATAAATTTGTTCAATATCCTTTCTGTACGGCTCCACAATCCCGTACACTCGCGTTCTTCCCTTGTTCTTACCCGAGTAAGTGTGCGCACACTGTCTCAATACATGTGAAACACAGATAACGGACCATGCCTTTTGGTGCCAAGCTGCTTATAACTTCTGGTAAGTAGTTTTCATTTTCAATTTGGCCTTGCTTGTGATCGTTACAATAAATGCTGGACACAACATCAGTCCTGTGAATCCTTCCCAGTTTTTTCGGCTCTGAAATTGTCCTCCTCGGTGTATAGGAAGGTTGACGTGATACCATCATCCACTGTTGTGATGGGTTCGTGATGGAGTTGAAATAATCGTAATGTCCGTAGGATGACTCTTGTCTCCCTGTTGTGTAGACAGCAGTCCTGAAAGATCTCTAAATGACCCAGTCGACACTTTGTCCTACGATTGAAATCAGTTTATGCTGAAACGTCGATAAACACTGTACAACCGTTTCATCCTTATTGGAGGTGATCGGCAGATCGCGTCTCGTGGTTCTAGGGAAATTGGAAACCCCGGTCTCCTGGTCATTAGTTGAAGACTAAACCGTTCGGTCACGAGTTGCTGGATGCACTTAGACAGGATATAGTATCACCCCTCCTTCAGTCACACGATTCACACCAAGTCACGACGTGTTGATGGGCCTCCCGAGCAACAACCTACCGGATGAAATTACATAACTATACTCATTTATATATATATATATATTATAACGTAACAATGTAATGTGATGTGTAGTGTAATAATTAATATATATGATATATATTACTATATCATCTATAATCGTCCACCCAACAATCTTGTAATGAGGAAGTCTAGGAATGCTGTTTGTTTTCCTTTCCACTGGAGTAATGTTAGAACCACTATGGATAGATGAACAAAACAACCGTCGTCGCCAAATAAAGCTATTATTAATATTCGTAACTAGGCAACAACTCTCGGTTATACACATCTTGCGTTCAGTGACGTTCAGTTGTGTGTTACCCTTCAACTTTGAATTGGAACTTGACCTGCTGCATGTATCACAAGTACCATTACTGCTCATTCACTTGACTAAGCTATGTTGCGGCACAATGATCAGCGTTGACTGAACTTCAAAAGCAGTCAAACACAGGCACAGAAAGAATAAGGAATCAGTAGCCCCAAGATTATTAGAAAAGCACGGAGATCAACATTAAACAAGTAATGATCAGTCACCTGTAACATTCGGTGCCTCGCTGCCATGCCACCTGAACGAAGCACGAGGGCTGAGGTACTGCCAAGTTGCCCAAACCTAAACAGGAGCAGTCGAGATGATGGTGTTGAGTTCGACACCACTGACCTTCCGGTTAATAAGTTCGCACTTTAACCACTGAGAACCTTCGAACTCCAGCAGCACTCCACTACATCCCTTTAACCGTAGTTGTCCCCTTTGGAGGACTACTGAGCGTGATGAGCATCGCCATATTCCTCGCCTGTTTCAACATCACCTGTTCAGCCAATCTTGCCTTGGAAAAGCCAAGATGACTGGATTGCTATGGAGAAACGGTAATCGAAGGCAGTAGCAGTTCGATATGAAAATTTGGATGGAGCTATAGTCAATAATATTTTCTGCGTAAATTCGGACACGTCGAACACTAATTTATCCACGAGAGTAATCTCAGAATCCATTGGGAGGGGACAGCAGCACATTGTTTCTTCTCAAGAAATATAGCCGCAATAACAGCCTAAGAGTCCTCGTTTCTATGAAGTCACCAATCAAGAAGTGAAGTGGAAGGAAACGACGAAAGGCAACTATGAAACAACTTTACTGTCACTACCCAGTTCTCAAGGGAAAAAATTCATAATCTGAAACCCACAACACCGAGACTTTGTGGGTAGTTGTCACTCCCAGTCAGAAGTGACAGAAGTAACAACAAGGTAACAGAACCCACCGGTGAATCTTGGTGAGATCTTCATAAATATCGTTCTCTGGCAAGAGAAGATTCAACTGAGCAGCGGGAGGAGCATTTTGTTGTCGGCGCTTCTTCGCAGTCGACTGAGGCGCCCCTGTTAGAGTGATTGCCACCGTACCAAGAGCAGCGGCCAAGCTATTTGAACCGGGGTTGTTCAGGGCGGACGGCATTAGGAGGCCAGCCGCTACAGCGGCTGCAGCCGATCCTGATGGAGGTCCACTCATAAAATTGTATAGGCCGGAATTGTTAAAGTACATGTAGGGGTTTGATCCACTGGAACCACCACCACCGCAACTGTTGATAGAAGCCAGCAGATGTGACAACAGACTGCCATCAAACAAATTCATCCCCAAACTCCCAAAAAGGTTATTGCTTTTCATAGAACTCGAACCCGATCCACCACTATGTATCACGCTGCTCGTCGAATCCGCTGGTTTCAATGATTTCGGTCCATCGGCGCATTCCGCATCAGGATTAGTTGGTCCAGTATTCGTATCCGGGACACTTGTCTCAAGCCCGTTGGTAGGGATTGGACTACGCAGTTCAGTACTGGTGTGGTTGGGATCCGTTTGACTAGGTTTGCAATGGGTGGCTGCACTCAGTGGCCAACCAGGACCACACAAAAGCAGATCACCCCAAAATAGAAAATTATTTGAACTGTTGGAAGGCAAGTCGGTTCCCCCTCGGCGACGTAGCTTCCGAGTGACAGCTGGTTTAAAATCCAGAATATCTGAAACATTTTAAAAAGTCTGGGATAGTCATAGCGGAGACAAAAGGAAAACCAAATTGTATTCATCTGGTATCGTACCCGTTCTCTAGTACTCTGTAACCAATAGGTGAAATGATAATTAGCTTTGGATCATTAACTCAGTCTGAAGGATACGTCCCACTTGATGGGAGACTTCAGGATAACAGGGAAGGCTTTTGGGATTGGAATACTCTTGACAGTCCGTGCTAACTTTGCTTAAGTTGTTTTCCCGGCTTGTTGGTTTTATTGCGTATAACATGTTAGTAGCTCAGTGGCAATGCATTGAATGTGCTTAATTCGCCTTAACGAATTCATTTCTAAGATTTCTATACTACCGAGTTTACCTCTTATACAATTTGCAACTGTTTTTT